AAGAAAAAAAAAAAAAAAAAAAGTACTTCCATGTTTTGCAGCCAAATATGGCTTGTTGTAATAGCTTCCTGCCTGGCTTATCAAATCCCCACTTCTGTATACTTCGAATATATTCTGTATCCTCTATTAATCTTACAGAAGCACCGCTGGAATTGAATTATTCAACCAATTCTGCCCATAGATTTCTAGAGGATTCCTCTCCACCCCTGAACCCAGATTCTACTACTACAGACGCCAGGTTCATAGCCCCTGAGTTTCCCGGCTTCTTCACCAGTCCCCTCTCAGGAGCCTATGTCCCAGTCGTCCAGTGAGTCCCAGTCTTCTGCACGTGTACTGCTCTTCACCTCCTTGCTCTGATTTATACTATCCCTTACTTCTTGGCTATGTTTCCCCTGAATTCTGACAGTTAAGATTCTACCCATCTGTCAAAGGCTCAAGTTCTGGGCTTCCCTGGTGGCGCAGCGGTTGAGCGTCCGCCTGCCGATGCAGGGGACACGGGTTCGTGCCCCGGCCCGGGAAGATCCCACATGCCCCGGAGCAACTAGGCCCGTGAGCCATGGCCACTGAGCCTGTGCGTCGGAGCCTGTGCTCCGCAACGGGAGAGGCCACAACAGTGAGAGGCCCGCGTACCACAAAAAAAAAAAAAAAAAGGCTCAAGTTCTGCTTGCCGCGTGCCCTCCCTCACTGGACTCTCCCTTCTTCTGTCCTTCGTACGGGAAGGACAGAGAATGAGCACGTACCACGTGTCAGGCTCTTCACCCAAACCCCTGGCTTTGAAACCGAACATACGGTGACAACTCGTAAATGTCTCTCGCTCGACGTCTCCCATCCCCTCAATGCCAGGCCCTCACAGCCGGCCGCTCCCTCGATGGTCCCCACTGGGAAGCAACAGGCCGCTGTCAACAGGCCTGCGGTGACGCCTGCATTTCTCTCCTGGCGGCCCTCCCCTCGTGTGTCTCTTACCTCTGTGAATATGATCATCACTTAAGCCCTGGACTTCGGAGGAATCCCTGATCCCTCTTTTTCCCTTAGGCCCTTGTTCAATCCCTCAGCAAGCCATCCTGCACCCACGGTCCCTAACGATGTCGTGTCTGCCACACCGACCACCTCTGGCCTAGATCACAGCCTCTAAGTGGCCTCCCTCCTGCCTTAGAATTATAAAGACAAAATGCAGTATCTTTCAGTGGCTTCCCTATGACACTTATTCTCAGAAAGGTCTCCCTACCCTGTAAAAAAAAAGAAAAAAATAGCAGCTTCCACCACTTTCTATCCTCTTACTCTTGCCTTATTTTTTCACCATTCTACCTGCTTTTATATCTTACATTTCTGTCACCTACTAATACACGCCTTCTACTGTCAGGGACTTTGCTCATCTTTTTCACTATTGTGCCTTTAACACCTACAACAGGCCTGATACAGAATCGAAACTCAGACACTTGTTGGAAATGCGTATCTTTAGGTCACGGCATGATTTTCAAAGGCCAGCAAGGCAGATGGTCTGCCCTTTGGTCCTAACCTAAACTGTTCCCAATTCTGTTTCTCTCACATTATTACATTTATCACAGCTCCTTTCTGACGTTGGTCTGACTACATACTTCACATATAAAACCGACTACCTCTGTAAAACCCATCAGACAAATCCTCACAGAAAGTGGCCTTCACGCTCATCAGAGATCTTACAATTTTATAGCAGCATCTCCTGCTTTCCCCACCAGTTCCATCTGTCCTCTGAAGGTCCCCTCCTTTGACAAGGGCCCTCAGGGTAGAGGATGTGGGGCAGCAGAGGCAGGACAGGGCTGCTCCCCAAACATCACCTGGCAGGCCCTTTCCCCAGGGCTTGTCTATAGCATGGTCATGTCGGGACACCAGGGTGACAAGAGCATGCGTCTGTATTGTCCTGACAAGACTCGTGCGGGGCAGATGTGAACAGATGGGCTTTGTCTTCCGTGTGTCAGTTTTCTCCCCTCCTGGCGCTCGCTCCACCCCAAGTGTCCTGCGTGGACTGAACCACTGACCCACCTAAGGAGAAGCTTGGTTCTTGCTCCCTGCCTGCCACCCTCCCACGCCCCTTATCTTAGTTCGTGAGTGTTATCCCCAGAGTCCTGAGAAGACAGGCTGACCCTTCTCATCATTCTGTTGCAGTTTTCTGGTTTGGGGTATTAACTTGTCCTCTAGGGGATCTGTGACTTAGGCACACACAGAGCAGACTCTCGTGCACTCAGGTAGACAGATGTTCACATCCTTGGATATAAGAAACTGGACATAGCTTCAACATACCCTGTGCAGCTGAATATTTACTTGATTTTTAAATCTAGAATTAAGTAGCTAAATTTCATTACTTACAGTTGATAGCAGGATCTTATAAAAGGACAACTGGCAAAAGCTTCTTTAACTTTAACCTGTACTTAAGTACAGAGCCAACAATTTAAATATAACTTACAGGATAGTCTTGGTTTATGCTTCTAGAAATTGAGGCAAAGTGAAACAAGTAGAATAAACCATATGAAAATTGAATCTTCAGATTAAACACGGTTTAGAGTCTAAACGTTAGATTTTTAGAGGCGTGCAGTTTACGTAATCAGTTATTGTCCCTACACTGGAACAGTCCAGTAGTATGTATTGTGAAATCCTAAACGTAAGAGAAATATTTGTTATGGTATAAGCAAAACAATTAAATTGAGATGAAAGGGACCTACCTGAAAAAGAAAAAACACTTAGCTATCTCTAAAATAGTGTTCGTATGTGCTTTTAAAATCAGAAATGACCAGATAATCCAAATGAATAATCACTTTCCTTTTCATAAGGCTGTAGACCAGACACATCCCCTAAATTTTTCAGTATATTAAAACCCTCGCCTTCTGTGGAGGGGTGAGTTCTCAGTGTGGAAATTTCGTGAATGCAGTCATTCCACTTACTTGATCTCTTCCTGATTTATGGGAGGTCATGTGACGTTCGAGCTGGGTTCTGTACGCAAAGGTGTAACTGCACAGGGAGCAACTGAAGTTGTCTTCATTCTTTTCATGGCGATATTTAATGTGTTCTTTCAGAGAGGTAAAGCGTTTATATCCTCTGTCACAATATGGGCAGGTGAGTAACTGGGAAAATGCATCTGGTGTTCCTGTAAAAGAAGGATCGTATATTTTAAATTTAAAAGGTCAAAAAAATATTGCCAGGACCGACCTTCAAGATGGCGGAGAAGTGAGACGCGGAGATCACCTTCCTCCCCACAGATACACCAGAAATACCTCTACACGTGGAACAACTCCTACAGAACACCTACTGAACGCTGGCAGAAGACCTCAGACCTCCCAAAAGGCAAGAAACCCCCCACGTACCTGGGTAGGGCAGAAGAAAAAAGAATAGACAGAGACGAAAGGATAGGGACGGGGCCTGCACCAGCGGGAAGGAGCTATGAAGGAGGAAAGGTTTCTACACACGAGAAAGGCCCTTCGTGGGTGGAGACTGTGGGTGGCGGAGGGGGAGCTTCCGAGCCGCGGAGCAGAGCGCAGCCACAGGGGTGCGGGGGGCAAAGCGGGGAGGTTCCCGCACAGAGGATCGGCGCCGACCGGCGCTCACCAGCCCGAGAGGCTCGTCTGCTCCCCCGCCGGGGCGGGCGGGGCTGGGAGCTGAGGCTCGGGCTTCGGTCGGAGCGCAGGGAGAGGACTGGGGTTGGCGGCGTGAACACAGCCTGCAG